ATAATAATAATAATAATAATAATAATAATAATAATAATAATAATAATAGATTGGCGCTTAAACATATGTTAGTGTTTGGCCGAGCTTCTTCTTCGACTTGTGGCGTGCGCCTTGATGTTGTCACACAAAGCGGAGGGACCTACCGTTTTACGCCGACTCCGAACGGCGATTGTATTTTCATGAGAAGCTGTTTTTTATGGCAGAAATACACTCGGAGGTTTGCCATTGCCTGCCGAGGGACGACCGCTGTTAAGAAAAAACCTTTTTCTATATTTTTTGCGATGTTGCTTTGACCAGGGTTTGAACCCAGGTGCTGATGAGTGAATGCGCGCACTGCTTACCACTACACCACAGCGGCAAAGCGTACATACACGTTTGTAATTGAAGCTTTTTTCGATGCTAGCTCTTCGCTTTGCTCGCCGCTCCACTATGTTTTTACCATAAGTCTAAAAAATTTGAGAAATAATTTTAATGCGGCTCTGCTTATAAATGCGGTCGCACCAAAAACCCTTCCGCTTAAGGCAAACGGACGCAAATTACGACTGGGAACAACAACAAGAACAACAACGGCTGAGAATATCATTCCCACGACAACCGGTTCTAGGTTCCGGAATGACTAGGGTTTTTCCCACACAAGGGCTGGGCATTGAGCCCAACCCGGACCAGAAATCTACTTCTGCTGTGTCTGCCGGAGACAACTTCACTCCACTTTGGTTAGGTGCAACACCTGTAATGGATGGAGTCACCTAAGAATCTCCTCTGGTCTTAGGGCTCACAGGGAACCACCACAAGCTTTGTGGCCCTCTGTTGCTGTTGTTGTTGTTGTTGCGGCTACAACAACCCCGCCCAGATCGATTGATATCTCAGTCGTTGTTGTTGTTGTTGTTGTTGTAGCGGCTACAACAACCCCGCCCAGATAGGTTGGTATCTCAGTCGTTGTCGTCAAGTTCCACTAACGGCAACCCTAGGAAGCGTGCAGCTTCTGCGGGGTTTGCCCATAAGGACAAGGCCGTTAGGGATGTCGGGTTTGCCGGGCATGCGAAGAGATGTTTCGAGTCATGTGGGGTCTCTCCGCATGCCGGACATTCGTTCGGCACATCCTCATTCAGCCTACTCAAGTAGGAGTTTAACCTGCTGCAGTCAGTTCCCTTAACGGCAGCCCTAAGAAGCGTGCAGCCTCAATAGGGTCGGTCCACAGGCACAAATGCGTTAGGGTTGTCGGGTTTTCCGGGCATACGAAGATATGTTTCGAGTCCTGGGGTGTCTCTCCGCATGCCGGACACTCATTTGGTACATCTGCGTTTAGTCTGCTCTGGTATGAGTGTAACCTGCTGCAGTATCCAGAGCGAAGTTGGGCTAATATGGTTCTAGTCTCCCGAGGCAGATGAAGCTGCGTCTCGTCAATGTCCGTAGGTTGTGCGCCCAGAACGGCATTCACAGGTCTGAAGTCTACATAACACGAGACTGACTCGCTGTGAATGCCGTTCAGGGCCTGTCGATAAGCTGACGGGTCCAGAGGTGGTTTAATGAATCTCTGGACTTCGTCTCCCAGTTCGTAGAGATGTCTCCGGACGTGCCTTGGCGAGGGCTCTTCTGCAAGCAGTTGCCTATTAGGGGGATCACGTCTATGGCTCCCAACAAGAAACTGCTTGCAGAGCATTGTGTTGTGCTCCTTGACCGGGAGTAATTTATCCTCTTCATGCAGGTGGTGTTCTGGCGACATCAGAAGGCATCCAGTCGTTGTCCTTAGTGCGGCGACCTAGTCCCCGGCGACCACACTGGTGCTGCGTAATTTAAAACCGGCCGGCCTATTGCCTTGTATGTTGCCAACAACGTTTCTTCGTCCTTGCCCCAAGTACTGCCGGCTAGCGACTTGAGGACCTTGTTGCGGCTCTGTACTTTGTTGACAATAGCGGTTGTGAGCGCAGAGAAGGAGAGCAGATTGTCGAAGGTTACTCCGAGTATTTTTGGGGTTTTTCACGGTCGGAATTGGTTTATCATCGTCGTGAACCCCCAGCGGTAGCCTGACCTCCTTCGTCCACAGAGTCCGCCAGGGTAACTCAACACAAACACAACCGCACCACAACACATTACAATAGACAATACTATTGACACAACAGACCACACCACCGATACAACTGCACCACCACCCAAACGCCAAAGCCAACAGCTCCTAGTTCCTCCGCCAATCTGCACACAGTAGAGGGGACAGGACACCACCCTGTGTTACCCCCTGTTTAATTTTACGTAGCTTGCTGGTTTTGTCTCTGAAAATTACTGACGAGTGTCGACCACTCAGGTAATTCGCCGACCACCGTTTGAGTCCCTGTGGGAGTGAGGAGGCCTCTATGTCTTCTAGCAGCGTTGAATGACTGACAGTGTCCGACGCTTTGGACAGGTCCAACGTTAAATATTTCGAGCTCAACATCGCCTGACCGGATAGCAATACCCGATGTCTGCTTCAATAAGACGATACTGCACGGTGTGGTGCGTGATGAACCATAAGCCTCCACCATTATCTCGCTCCCGATCTCGACGGTGCATGTTGTATCCGGCGCAATTCAACAAGGTTGAATTGCCGTGCAACTTCGCCTCTTGGACCGCAGCTATTAATTTCCATGCCTTCCCATGAAGACAGTTATCTCCTCGAGCTTGCTCTGGAGTCCGTTACAGTTGAATTGCAGCACCTTTGTGTGCCGTGGGAGACCAATTGTGATATGTGTAGTTTTTTGTTTTTTTTTTTTACTATATTTGTACAATAAATAAATATTCTACAAATACATTACGATTCGCAGCACTGGCCACGAAGGCCCTCAGCTGTCCTTTGCATCTTATTCGAATGAGATTATATGGGTCTTTGCATATTGCTTTATACTATTATGTGTTATATTCGTCTGAGCAGGTCTACCTCTTTGAGAAAATTATATATTAGTTGTACATTTCTATAGGTTGGGTTTTTGAGTAACTCGATGGGGTCGGCAGAGTTCAGGATGGCTTGTCGGGGTTCAGTGATTGTTGGACATCGTAAAATATGTGTTAGCGAAGATGCTTCCTCGCAGAATGGGCAAGTTTCGATGGGGCTTCTTTGTAGTAAGGGGAGTGGGTAACAATTGTATGCCCAAGACGCAGGCGGGTGAAGGGTCTTAACGCACGTAGTGGTATATTTGGATCGTAGACCATCATCTTTCTGCATGGGTTGATTGCTGAGTAGTGATGGACGTACATTCCCCAATCGTCGATTAGTGACTTCAGTCTTAGCCTGGTAGCTTCAGCTTGAATGTCTTGCTTAGATACGGAGTCATACATAAGTGAGGGAGTGATGGCGATGTTCTTGGCTGCGGCATCAGCGTGTTCACATCCCGAAATTCCAACATGCCCGGGGATCCACATAAGTTTTATTTTGTTAGGGCAGTGTAGTAGTATGTTGCGGATGTTAACTATTGCGTTTTGAGTGTTGGATGGTGATTCGACGGCGTTGATGCCCGATTGACTGTCTGTACAAATGACGAATTTGCCTTTATTCATCTTGGCATAGATAACTGCTTCGAGTACAGCGGTGGTTTCCGCCGTGAACACCGAGCAAATAGAATGAAGTATACCGTGTTTGATTATGTTCCCGCAATGTGATACTACTGCAAAGGAGGTGTTGTTTTCAGTCTTGGACCCGTCCGTGTATACGAATTTCCAACCAAGGTTTTGATATTTCTCTTTTTCCGCAGCGAAGAGATTTGTATACGGATTTGTATTTGGAGTACTTGCTTTGGGAAGAAGCAGAGTTTTGATGATTGACTTGGCGTTGTTTATCAACCAATGCGGGTGTGCTTCTATAGCTTGAGGCTTTTTATTGATGGGTATCTGAAGATCCTTTGCAAATTCTAAAGATTTTAGCATTGCCGATTTGCACCTGGGCTGGCGTTTTCTTGTTAACATTTTTTGGACATTTTCGGAAAGAATGGAGTTAGAGGTGTACAGCAGTTTTGGTAGGAGTCGGCGTGTAGTGTCGGTGGTTCTGTCTGAAATTGTTGGTAAGCCTGTTTCAGCCTACAAGTTTTTCAATAGGGTTGTAGGGAAGGCTCTGATACTCCTGCACATTGCGGCGTGGTACGGTGCTGACAGCTTGTTGAGTGTAGCTTTTGGGCTTTTACCGTAAATAGGAAGGGCGTAATCAATTTTGGATAGGATTATTTGATTATGTTTATACTATTTGAAATGCGCTCTCTTAGTTGAGTACAGTGTGGCTTGAAGTTGTATTTGGAGTCTAAAATCAGTCCAAGAACTTTGAGTTCTTGTACCAAACTTATAGTATCATTGGAAACGCCGGGACAATTCTGTTTCCGGCAAATATGTAAGAATTTTGGTTTTTCCAGTAGCAATTGTGGTGCCAGAGACCAGAGACCATGAATTTATTTTCGAAAGTATGCTATCAAAAGTTTCCTCTACAAACGTGATGTCAGAATATGTGTAGTTAAGGAGTTGTGTTGCTTGCCGGGTGCTGCCTTTTGGTGGTGGTTGGCGGCGTCGCGGGGGAGGGCAGCACAGCAGGGGCCCACATAGTCACTCGTCCAATCACGCGTGTTGCGAAGCCCTGAGCATGCCCTAAAGTGGCACCAGTCAAGGCAGGAGTTGCACTTGACTGATGTCGCATTACGGTATATTCTGGACTGACAAACCGAGCAGATTGTCGGAGGGACTAGGAGTTACCGGCGGCGGTGTGTGGGTGCTATTGTGTTTGTTTGTGTGTATATTGTTGTGTTGTGTTGGGGTGTGAAATCCAGGTGGACATAGTGAAGGCGAAGGTCTCCTCTGCAATTGGGCCGACGGAAGTAGCATATCGGCGAAGACAAGAAACGTTGCTGGCAACCTTACAAGGAAATTGGCTGGCCGGTTCTAAACTATGCAGCCTCGTGCTCACCGGGGACTAGCAGGTCATAGTGGACGAAGATACAGATTTGCCAAAACATGGCTCTCCGGACAGTCACCGGATGCCTTCTGATGTCGCCACAGCAGTGCCCACACACTTGGGAAGTCACACATAAAAACTAACGGACATAGTCCAGAAGTTCATAAAACAACCGCTGGACCTGATAGCGTACCGACAGGCCATAAACGGCATTCACAGGGAGTTGATTTCGACCTACACCGACTCCATATTTCTGAATGACGTCCTGGCAACACAGCCATTTGACGCGGACGAGACAGTTTCCTTTCCTCGAGGAACTCGCAGTACCATAGCCAAACTTCGCTCCGGATACTTAATAATCATTGATAGTAGCCCTAGTCTAACTATTAATTTTTCTTATTCATATCTTATTCACACAGGTTTTGAAACTGCTCGAAGATAAAAATTCATATCAAGTAACAGCCAAGGAAGCCTTACGTAAAGTTTACCAAGAGCGATGCGACGCTTTGCAAATGCTCTCGAAAATGGAATTGGCGTATGCCAATTCCGATGGCGAATGTAAAATTTTGCGCGATCAAATTATGAGTACGAAACAGTCGCTACAGGACGTTAACACACGTTTGCAGCGCCTCGAAACCGATTACAATGAATATAAAGAGGAGGCCGAACGTAAACAACAGGAGATTAAAGAACAAGAGGAGCAGCGTATTGCAGATATATCAGAGAAATTGCAACAGCGTGAATTAGAGTGCGACGATTTGCGTCGCCGTGTGTCTGAATTCATGCTACAGCATGCTGAGTTGGTGGATGATGAGGAAAAAAAATTGCAGTTACAGGCCATTGAGAAGCTAGATGCTGTAATAGGCGACATGGATTTGGGAGAGGATGACGACGACGAAGACGCGAACGAGAACGAAGCGAAAGGGGACGAGGGTGATATTAAAAGTAAGGAAGATGGCAACGAAAAAGAATGTGCCAAAAATTATTTGCATCAGCCGAGAGTCACAAAAAGTTTAGATGCAATGAATGGAGTGGACACGAAAATCCTGATTAGCAGCGCCGAAAAAGAGGTAATTAAATATCAGATATATATGTATATACATATATATAAATCGTAAGATTTAAGATAACCGCTAGCATGATTGCTGATTTGAGTTGTAACACTGCCTTGTTGAAGAAGAAGTCAATTCAGGTAAATTGCTTGCTTTTAAAGATTACGAAGCTCGTTATGCTTCTTCGCAAATGCCATACATTTTATACATACATTTGTTGTTTTAAATATACTTTCGTGGCAGATGTCTAACGTTTTTTTCTATTGCAATTTAGGTTTTAAACACTTCATCTCAATCGGATGTTGCCCTAAAGAAAATCAAGCAAAAAGGTAACGCTAAGGAATCGACGATTCTCAAATGGCTGCAAAATTCCGATCTGAATCAAAAGGAAGGTTCCCTCGACATTTTCAAAGCCATTTGTAATGAGTCTGATTCGAGCGATGAACATGATCTTCCAGTGAATGAAAATGATGCCGTGAACGTTGACAGTGAAAGCGGTATTGATACGAATACTACCTCACTCGAGGAGATTAAGCTAAAATACAAGAAATCCAAAAATAAATTACAAAGCGTACAAGCTATACTATGTCAATTGGTAGAAGCAGAAATGGCGAAAGAGTGCTATAAATCAACAGGTGCTGATGTAACTGAGCACATCGATGCAGAAAATGAAAATGAGGCTTTAAAATTCTCACGAAAAGAGGACGAATGCACTTCGAAAAATGATGACCAGAGGTTGGCTTTGCTACAATCCAGTGTAACGATTCTTAATGAGGCGTACAAAGAACTCTGCGATAGCCTTACTGAGCAAGAGCTACACAAATCATTAGCAGCGGACATAAAAGAGATATCACCGCCACCGACAATAACTGTACAAACACAATTGCAAAACAATGCGCCATCTAAAACAGGTGGCAGTGCCACAAGCAAACTGCTCTCACAGGATACCCTGAAGCCGCTTACAGAGGCTGTTGAGGATGAAGCGGCATTATACGACTTGGATGAGAATAATCTGTCAACGGCAAAGGCATCAAAAAATGATGAATGCACTACTACAGTGACCACACCTTCGACAATCGTTTCACCAGGCGATGTAGCGGATAGAGAAATGAGTATAAGCGATGAAGTGCGCGCATATCAGGAACAAATAAAAGAGCTTAATCTAAAGCTTGAACAAGTGGAGAGTGATGCACAAAATACGCTAGAGATAATGCAAATTGAATGTGACACTTTCAAGGAGAAGGTAACTCAATTGTCCAAAGTAGTTCAAAAAGCGTGCGAAGAGAAAAAGGAACTTGAAAGGTTGCTTGATGAGCGGACCAGTATGGAGGAAACAGTTATGCCGGCAGAACAAATTAATGATAGAAATGAACAACAAATGGATGCGGTCATCAAATTACCACTGAGTGCGTCATCATTGCCTTTGGCTAGCGAAACGAAAAATGAGTTTGAGCTGCATGAGAGCTTCGATGATGAATTGCTGTCCTCGGATAACAAAAGTGTTGCTGGTGGCAAAATGGATGCCGATTTCGAAACGCAATTGCGTGAAGACTTAGCGGCCATAAATAGTACTGCACTGCAGCGGGAGGAGGAGCTGATTGTGTACAAAGAACGACTGGAGAGGACGCAAAACGATAATCTGCAGTTACGCAACGACATAGCGGCACTGCTACTGAAATCGGGCACACAGGCTCAAACGCATATGGTGAAGCAAATGCTGGCGTACGGCACAGCAGTATTGGCTATCATTGTTTACTTATTTACAATGTATTTCTAAGTGCTGCTGTTTAATCTATGTTTATGTCGTAAGCAAATCCAAACGAGGAACGGAGATATATATACAATACGACAGAGTGGGAGCATGTGAAAGCTAAATTAGATAAAATTAGAACCAAGCGAACGAATACAAAGTAGGAAAATACAGCGAGAGTTAGCAACATATTGTTATTAAAAGTTGGTGCACAGTGTAAATTCATTCGCTACAATGGTCACACGAGATAAAATGGCTGCCATGACATAAGGATTTAAAGCTTTTTAAAATCTTAGAGCCAAACATAATCTGTCTCATAGATAACGGGTTGGTTCACTATTTCGACATATCGAATTTTCCCAATCATCAACATAGCGATGTTTTTAATTATTAAAAGGCAACTAACAGGCTTAAGGTCCGATCGATATTTTCCTGCCAAGTGCTCGTTCTGCCTACATTGCGCCACACACACATCAACCGAAAAAATCTTATTATATGGGAAAAATTAGATTCATTTAAAAAAAATGTAGATATTAGCGACCTTTTAGTTTGTAAAAATATTTAAATTGCCACAAAAATTATTATTACTAAGGTAAACGCAGTAAGCAACAATCGCATAACAAACCAATTCATACAAACAAATAAAGCTTAATAAAAACAAAACAATATATATAAAAGTAATGTACAACTTAAATTATAAATGAAAAGCGAACACAAAGAGCATAGCTAAACGCCAAGAAAATGTATCTCTATTAACGTACGTACATGCGTATATAATTCAATAAAATAAAAAAAAAAAAACGTGTGTGCTAAAAAGAACATGTATTAAACTGTATGTATGTGTGCATTTAAATTTAGTGTGGCGATATTTCCAAAAACAAGCAAATCAAAAAGTAAATACTTTTTAAACAAACATAGACATTTGAGCCTCACACTCATCTCTGCTGCTAGCCGGGCTGTTGTTACCTAGTTGTTATTGCATACCAGTGCATTGCATCTAAGCGAATGCTGCATTTGTTTAAAGTTATATTTAAATTATTGCATACGTAGACACACAAAATATAAATTATGAATATAAACAAATATAGCAAACACGCGTACATTGTATAGGAACACGTATTAGAAATGCTATAATGAAATCGTAACACAATCACAAAATATATGTATGTATGCTTATTCTATTGCTTTATGGCGCTTATTTAACATTTGCATTCATACTCGTATGTATTTAAAGAAAAAAACTTAATATCACTACAATTGGCCACGCCTTTAATTATATGATAACTGATTACATTTCAATTTATTTTCGACAAAAAATAGGTGGTAATATAAACAATATTCAAACTTTTTTATATTTCTTTTACACTTTTCTTCATTTGCTAATTTAAACTTGCTAAAAATTCATTAAATTTCGAAGTCCAACTCTCGCTCCGTAAGATCAATTTTTTTATTTTCCAAAAACAAAAATATATACTACATATGTATGTCGTATAAGCATTGGTCAATCGCTTTTAAGATGCTTCATTAAAAGCTGCTGTTTTGTTAACAAATTTTAGACTGTTTCACACCCATTCAAAATGTGTGTGTGTGTGCAGCAGTGTGTGTTCTATACTAATTACTGAAGATTATTATTTCCTGCTATTATCAATTACTATTATTTAAATTGTTAGATTTTAGTTAAAATTTTTATTATTATTTGTAATATTATTTTATATAAAAACAAGGAAATATGCAATGCAAGTGAAATATGTATACAAAATTATTTGAAATTTATTTTGTAAATTATATAGTATATTTATATATGCTATTTAATGTGAAAACGCGCTTAGCCGTAAGACGTGTGTCTTTTTGAAAACGAAAAACGAAAAATATGTAGAAGTTAATGAAATCACGAATAAAAATTATTAAAATTCTTGTATGACACAGCCTGATTTGAGTAGTCCACTTGAAAACAGCGTTATGTGATTTTATAATAGTAAGTCATAAATTTAAAAAAAAAACGACTACGACAACAAGTCACTTTTATATTGAATATTTTTTTTATTACCTGAAAACTTGGATATATAAGAGCCTAATAACATTACAATATAACATAACATAACATTAACTGTCTATACGACCTAAAGCAGTTTCTAAGTTCATCATAAGATGGTGACTTTTGAAAGGGTATAAATAAGTATGATAGCGACTGATGAGTAGTTAACATTTGATGCCATTTTTTCAGAATATAGAAAGATTTTTCACTGTGTTGTCAGTGGACATGAAACTACTTTAAATACTGGTACATTACCCACCAAAAACTAAAAATGGAAAAAATTTTACATAGCGCACTTTGCAAGTGGACTACTCATTTGTCATTTCTACTTGTGCATGCACATATGTATGCGCATATATGTACATCAACTTAACGAGATTACTTCGAACTTACTAGACAAAACGACTGAAGAAATCAGGAAGATTGGATGAAGGACATCCTTAGCGACAAAATTGTCTAGGGGTTACATAACTACGAGTGCATGCCAAACGGTAGACAGTATACATATCGTTCCCACGACAGTCGGGTCTACGTAACCGGAACGACCCAGATTTATATCAGGCCAAGGACTGTCACTCCAGCAACACTCCCCAAAAAGTCTTTGGGGAATTTGTATGCTGCTACAACAACAACAACAACAACAGTATACATATCATCATACATACCGTAGAACGTATATACATATGTAGACCACCCGTCCATGCCTCCTAAAATGGGGGAAAATGTTTTTTATTGAAAAACGTTAAAATATTACCTATCAAATCGGGGATGATTTCTTTTGGTGTTATTACCGATTTCCGGTTTCGACCGAAAGAGAGGGTTAAGTTGACCGGTTGTCCATTTTTTTAGACACATGTTTTTATAAGAGATTCGGATTCTGTGGATAAAAATACGTAACTTCTATTTGAAACTGTTTTCTCGGAAGTGCTTTTTTCAACCTCTAAATGACGTTTGAACTTCAACTCCTCCTGGACTTCGTAAATGAGGGAAAATGTGTTTATTAGAAAACGAAAAATATGAATTACCAAGGCTCTATCTTTTGGTCGTATTACCGACTTCCGCTTTCAAAGTTATGTATTTTTGTTTGCAGAATCCGAATCTGTGGTAAAAGTATGTATGTCCTTTTAAAAAAATGGATTTCCGGTCAGTTTAACCCACTTTCGGTTGAAACCGGAAGTCGGTAATACGACCAAAAGATAGAACATGCTCGATTTGGCAATTCCCATTTTTTAGTTCTCTAATTAAAACATTTTCTTTCATACAGTTCACTCCGTTCCGTTACTTCCATTAAACCTAGGTCCTTTCTTACTGGGTTCCATAGAAAACCGACCTGTCCGGTTCTAATAAGAACCAGAAAACGGTTCTGGATGAACCGAAACTCGATTCCAAAAGAACCGACACTACTTTCCAAAATAACCGAAAAAGGTTCCGGTAGAACCGAAAAACCGAAACTTGATTCCAAAGGAACCGCACTAATTGCAAAATGAACCGAAAAAGTTTCCTGAAGAAACGAAAAAACCCGAAACTCGATTCTAAAAGAACCAAAAACGGTTCCAGTAGAACCGAAACTTGATTCTAAAAGAATCGAAAAATGTTTCCGGAAGAACAGACACTCGATTCCAATAAAAATGAAAAACGGTTCCGGAAGAACCGAAAAAGAGTTGCGGAAGAACCGAAACTGGATTCCAAAAGATTCGAAAAACGGTTCCAAAAGAATTAGAAAATGATCTCAAAATAACAGAAAAAATAAGATGACATTTTTGGATACAAAATATGAACAAAAATGGAAATCGTTTTCTGAACGTTTCCGGATACGAAAAATTTATGAAAACCGCACTGTCGCCAAAAAGCATAATTCAATAATAAAAGGTTTGCTCAGAAATCAGTTTTCTCGTTTCCTCTTGACAAAAGGGAGAATCAAAACTCTAATATCACTAGTGAGCATGCCGTTCAAGGCCTGTTGGTAAGCTGACGGGTCCAGAGGTTGTTTGATGAACCTCTGGACTTCGTCCGTCAGTTCGTAGAGATGCCTCCGAACGTGTCTTGGCGAGGGCTCTTCTGCAAGCATATTTTTTTGCATGCATTTTTTTGATGTGGCATTTTAGGCGACAAACCGTCAAATAGCTGAAAAAGAAAACACAAAAACAAAATAATTCCGCTTTTGGCTTAAATTGACGTGTTGAGTAATTATTAATGATATCTTACGGTAAGTTAAATTAAATTAAGTCTAGACTAACTTGGCTTCTACGGGGCTATTAAATTAAAAAAATTCTGAGTAACCCTGTTTCATTAGGGTGTGTGAATACCATTCACAAATTTTCTATTCTTCTTCTTATCCAGCGGCAAGTACTTTTTACGATGCCCTGTCATCGGTTCGATTGTGAGCTATCAGTTTCGTTTTTTTCTCTGATGTGTGCGAGTGATTGCTACGGCGGATTGGCAACATAATTTTTAAATTTGTGAATTTTATGTTACAACCACCCAATGGAACAATAAATCTTTGTGCAATAGATTTGGTGTTGGACTGAAATTGATAAGAGGAAAAACAGCATATAAAATCTATGCCTAGTGTATTTGCAGCTTATGGGCGTGTGAACAGCCAACCTGCCTTCGTTTTTGTTAGTGCGTATGTGTGTGTTTGCATGGACTTTAAAGTTAATGAAAAGCAGTAAATTCATTTGAATGCAGTAATTGCGGATATTTCGCAATATAATTGAAAGTAAAATCCAAAGTCGATAAACATTTGTTCTGTGGAAAATATATGTAGTTATCAATTTTAATACTAATTCGACAAGCAATTGCATTTGGAATTCAAGTGGGAGGGGAAGAAGTATTCCGGGACAGCCGATAGAAAAGTAGTGTAAAGAGGTAGAGCAGTAACCAGCGCATAAGTACATTTTTGAGTTCAAGGGTTGCCAAAGTAAGGTATACAGGATTGATGTAATCAATTATTAGATTTTCTATAAAATTTATTTATTTCGCGAGAAAAGCCATTTTATTTTGGGGAAAAGAATTTTCAGAAATAACTGAGTTCAGGTTTACAAACTTTGCAGTACAATTTTCCTATATGGCCGATTGTTAAAGGGATGTTTGACTAAGGGTGAGGCGGAGTGGCACCTCCCACTCCCCATTTTAGACATGCCCCCTCTAATACTACCATGCACATAAATATAGCCGGGTCACTTGGGACCCGGGGAGGGGCCTTAGAAAAATTGCCACAAATGATAATTTTCACTTGCGTTTTCCCGCTTGAAAAAGGCTGAAGGGGCCCTACCCCTCTTCTGGGCAATACAGAAAATAGAATTCTACTTAGTTAGGGTTTTAACCCTCAGCTCGGCCGAAGGCAGCCTACGCAGAAAGGAATTCTACGAAAAAATACTGTGGTTGCAATTGAAAATTGTGACTTTTTGCCATATTTCTAAGGGCTCTCTAGGGCAATGTTTTCGTATTCTCTTGGATATACATATGTAATGAAGTTTCTGTGGCTTTTTCGGTAATAGCAATTTTGTGTTTCACTGGATAAAATTTAATAAAAATGCAATGAATAGTTCGGACATTTAAGAAGCGGTGCATTTTTAGTTTTCCTTGCCTTTTACATCAAAAAGTAACGCTTAATAAGAAACTAGTAATGTATATATATAAATGTTGCTCAACATCATTGGCTAAGATTTATTTAAGTTTCTAAACACTGCTGTAATTCATAAATATTGTATTATTATAGATATTTCAAGTGTTCAATTGTAAAGAGATACATAAATGTATTATAATAATTGGCTTATCAAAAATAACCCTACAAAAAGTTAACTGTTACTTAAGTTCAGCATAGAAAACTCTTAACATTTACATACATACTTACATACATATGTACATACTATATGTATATACATATTCGTTAAATTAACAAAAATAAAATAAAAACGGATTAACAATAAACGACGACGAATACACAACGACAACGGCGGCAACTAACATCTTGCAAGCGACCAATATCAATTTCCGCTTACGTCGGTGAAAAACTAATCAATGAGGTAAGTAAGAGTTTACAACTTCAAAAAGCAAAAACAAGAAATAAATATAAATAGCTCCCCTGTTAACAATTCTTATCATTTCATACATTTACATCTGTACGCCTAGTAATAAAATTGGAGAAAGTTTCACTCTTTCCTAAATGTTTTACATATGGCCGATTCCAGCGAAGAGTCTACCGCAAAAAAATTAAAGTCCTTGTAGGCCGATTTGGCTGCTTTTTATAATACATACTGTTATGTAAGCAGAGCCATTTTTGCCAAAAATTGCCTCGTTAGGTGGCGTCAGGGTCGAGATATTTTGAAAAACCGTATTTATGCTCTGATTTGCTTCACATTTGGCATGCTTAGTTGAAAATAAGATGTCAAAATAAAAAGAATATAGACATAAAATGCGTTTTTCTTCCCGTTAACAATTCTAATCGTAATTTTAGTAACGCAACGTCATGTAACGTCACGCCAGATACTTCAGCTGATTAAACAAAAAGCAGAAAAGAGTTTTGCAATTCAAGAGTTTTTGCTCAAGTTAAAATCCACTTGTTTTTCGTAACGTCACGCCATCGCTTATGTTTACTAATACCACGACAGTCGGGTCTACGTAACCGGACGACCCAGATTTATATCTGGCCAAGGACTGTCACTCC